AATAACTAACAAGAGAAGTTTAGATGTCCAATTAGTTTTGAAAAGTAACGGTCAGAAGTTGTAGCATCTTATTTTCTATTAACTAAAGAGAATATCATTCGCTCGGAAAATTCATTATAAGAATAGAGCTATATTCAGTTTCGAAAATGGGTTTAAATGAAAATTTTTCGTATTTTTTTTACTTTTTGGATGTTTCTATATATGAGGCATTCCATGTTAATAACTTCACAAAAAATCTCAAGTTTTTTTTCGCGAAACACGTACCTCATATTTTTATCTTTGTAGACATGTCAGCAAGTTTTAAAAAAAATGACAGTTTCAAAGGTTTCTGACAAAAATCTTTGACATATTGTAGAATGTTTCATATGTATGAGTAATATACGTAAGTGGAACAGAAAGAAAAACTTGGTCTCGATTCAATTGATGAGTTCCAATTTATTTCTAATTTTTCTACTTTATAATATAACAAAACTTACAAAATATTAAAATATTTTTAACTTTTCAAATTCAATTCGTTGAAAACGTATAATAATACATTAAAGAAAATGTATAATATGTAAGCAAATATATGTATTTTTGTACGTACATATATTCGTACAATTTTATAAATGTATCATACCCAAACGCAAATTTGAACTTTGGGAAAGATAAAAAAATATTCCACGCGCACCATTGGAATCGAGATTCCACAAAATCAATTTTCTTTTCTATTCCATTTACGTATATTACTCACATGTAGGAAAATTCAAAAAGTAAAAAAAAAATTACGAAAAAAACTCATTTAAACTCATTTCCGGAGCCGTTTATAGTGGACTTTAAATTCATTCCTCTAATGAATATCAAATTTTCCAAGCAAATGATACTCATTTTAGTTAATAGGAGATAAGTTAATAGGATATTATAACTTCTATCCGTTACTTTTCCAAAACTAATTCTGGATATCTGGATGATTTCCTTTGTAAGTACAATTAAAATTAATGTCAATGCTTTCTTAACTCCTATATTTTTATGTTTTTAAATGAGAAATAGAAAACTATAAAAATAATTAGACTCGGAATTAAATCCAAAAGAGAATTCGAAAAAGTTTTAATAAAAAAATAAGAAACCTGTATGTTTGTGAGTGCAAAAAGTACAGGGGAAATATCTTTTAAAAAAAACCTTATTTTTGAAGTAAATATTAATTAACAATTTATTAACAAAGAATAGGACTATATTTCTCACAACTATTTTATCTAAAAAGATATATGATTAAATAATATAAAAGAAAAAAATTTATTGAACCATACATTGAACACACAATAATCAATAGAAAATAAAAGTCTTTAACGGTCATCATGAAAATTGTGTCACAGAATTAATTTTTTGAACTTTTAAAATGTAATCCAGACAGAATTATAATAGTAATATAATAATTTTATGCTCATAGGCATCTTCGAAAAATTTTAATAATGCTAAACTTATTAGAATTCGTAAACAATTTTATTGCAAAAAAAATCTCAATCGGGAATCTCTCCACTCGTCGGGCGAATGTCCTCACAGTTAACCTATCGAGGCATATAATTAAAATATATTGTATTATATATATCTTAAAGATAGATAAAATATATTATTTTAAAATATATTATTTTGAAGTTCGGAAAAGTTATATTATTTGGATACAATAATATCTTGGTACAATAAAGAAATTTACTTTCAAAGATCGCGAAGCTCTTTTGTTTATATTAGGATAGAATGTTATGATAGAAACTTATCATTGTATAAAACCGTTAATGTTTATTTTCGACATGGAAAAAATAATTTTGCTAAAATATATTCATAAAAATATAGATGGGGCAATAAAATTTTTGTAGCAGACACAGATCTTTGAGAATTTTATTGAGCTTTTCATATATATAGCCGTCATGGGTTATAATGAGTGAATATATTGATAAAAAAATAAAAAAATTCCATTGCAGCTGTGGATTACTACATTTTTAATCCTGGAATCATAAAATAATGTAAATTTGGTACACATAGTTTATTTAGATTCTAGGTTAAAAATATAAAATACTGATACAGTTGGTACATATTTACAATCGGCAGCTGCAGAGGAATTCTTCGATTTCCTTATCAATATATATTCATCATGAGTCACTGTGACAAGCAATAGACGACATGCAATTTTCTGTGCGACTAAATATGCGTGAACATGTTCAAAAAAGAAAACTAGTGTGATAGCACTAGCATTGCTGTACCAGCAGCTGTAGAAAGAATTTTGACAAAATTTTAAGTGTTTCATTGAAAAATTAAAATTAAAATGATACTGTGATGATTGATATGTATATAATTTTTTAGACGGTTTGTGCTACAATATTGAATATCAATTCGTTTTGTTTCAATACTGAAATTCATTGCTAGAATATCAAAATTTTTGATAGAATTTCCACACAGCACACTTTATATGAGGAATATCCTGAGAGTATCTTTAGGACATAAAAACATCCTTTGAACGTTTTTTGGAGGCTTATGTTGTATAGGTTATCATTTTATTTTATTGATAATTAATAAGCTAGCTAAAATTTCTTTGTCATTTAGCAAAAATATTTTTTCCGTACTAAATAAGGCTTTTTTTATAAAAATGTCCCCTATGCGAATACTTTTTGCATTCACTATGTGTGCGCGCGCGCGCGTGTGTATGCGCGCGCGCGCGCGCGTGTATGTGTGTGTGTGTGTGAGATAAATTCTTTATTACTATCGTGTCAACTTCTTCCATGTCACTTGTTAAGGATTAAGAAGTATCTGCAAACGTCATACATGACACTCCTTCTCGAACTCTCTACATACATTTGTAAACGAATTCGTCCTCAACGATTTAACATTTCATGAATTTACATACAACGTTTTTTGGCCTATATTCTTATCGGGCAAAAAATTTTAATGGCATCGTAAATACAGACAAACACGCTTATTCTCTCATTTCAGTATTCATTTAACTTTCGCTTGAACTGTTTGTGTCTGACGCGCTCGGTAATTCCTCGAAGTGATATGTACATAATTATATAGTTATAAATAACATAATTAATGTTGAATAGTTCTGTCTTAGGCTGTTAAAGTTCAGTTAAATGCACTTCTTGTCGGAAAAAGAGATTTCCTCTACCCTGCGAAATTTTCTTAAGTTACGTAAGTATTAAGAGAACGCGCGAGTATTATACTTTCGTTCGTTTAGGTCGTTTATTAGGTTTATACGTAATGATAACTACTTTAGTGCGATAAAATCGATTTTAATAGTAAACGAGTACTTCCGTATTGTATTTAATTGCTCGACACACTATGTACGTTTTTGATAGCGCGGATGCTCAAATTGTAATTTGTCCTCGAACTTGAGCATTGTCGTAATACTTTTAGCGATTAATACTTTAGACGTTTACTAGGACACAGTGTACACAAGATTCAAAGCGTTTAAATAAAAGCTTATTTATTGCCGAAAAAAATGCATTCTCTTCTATTATCTTTGATATTTCTTTAGAGATATAAATTGTAGATGTGTTATATAAGATTCGCGAGTTAAGATTCGCAAACAAAGTTTTAATAGATATTAGGTGTTGGAATTAATTCGTAGCGTTTTTAATGAAAGAATGTTATTTATTTCACATGAGCATTAAAAAATACATTAATGAAAGTACTTCCCATCACTTGTAAAACGCTACGAATTAATTCCAACACCTAATATTTCTCAAAGAACTCGCAATTCTAGAAAGATCTCCTTTGAGAAACAATTACAAATTGTTACAAAAGGTATAAAAAGAAGAGCATAAGAAACCACCGCACAAGTTATAGTTTATGATATTTAATTATTATTACATTAATGAAAACATTAAACGTTTCGGCCACAATCTGGCCATCTTCAGTAATTCCATAATATTCTTAAAACGCAGAGTTACATCTAGTTGACATTAAATTCAACCATCGTGTGTTATAATTATATAAACATTATAATTATAAATGAAAAGAAGAATTTCTGAAATAAAATAAAAGGTCAAACAAGTGTATCAATAAGCAAAGTGACACAGAAGGTTTGCCTGATGTTTATCTTCCTCTTCTTAAGAAAGATCTCTCTCTCTTTTAATAAATAATTCTAGAACTTTCTAAACTATTGACTCATATACATAAAGTGGTAAAATATATGATATGACAAATAACAACACACAATGTGACAAATTTCTATTTGTGCAAAGGATGTACTTGAGATTCGTTATTTTTTTGCTGTAAAATAGGTAATGATTCTATTCTTTTATATTCCGATTAGAAGATATTAATGATATATAAATTTGTTTTAAATTAGAATTTGGAAATTCTTGTTCTACACTTTTCGTGATATGACAATTGGCGTTGTAACATTATTGTATGAAGCATCTTCACATAGAAAAGAACACGTTTATATAATTATAACACACGACGGTTGAATTTAATGTCAACTAGATGTAACTCTGCGTTTTAAGAATATTATGGAATTACTGAAGATGACCAGATTGTGGCCGAAACATTTAATATTTTAATTAATGTAATAATAATTAAATATCAACAAACTATAATTTGTGCGGTGGTTTCTTATGCTCTTCTTTTTATACGCTTTAAAATTATAATCACGTTCGTTTTTACGATGTATTTTTACAAAAGGCTTAATGAAATTTATGAAATTTTTAAAGATTTATGACTTAATTTATATAACAGAATTTAATATCCCTCCTTGAGATTTTAATACTTAATTCATTACTATTCATTATATGTGAATGTATGCGTTAATACTTTATCGACCATATCATTTAAATGAATTAGTATTGGTTTTAGTGTTAATAAGTACACAAATATTTCGTATCTTTTCATTGTATACGTATAAGAAATAATCTTGATTATAACTGCGATATTGCATTTAGTGCGATAGTAGTCGCTGTTTACAAGGCATAATGCGATCATCGAGCCCTCCCACGTAACATACAAAATCTTATCTGTTATAGTGAATTACCGAGTCACATAACGTCAGCTCTTTAGTAGAATGTACTGGAGTGCACGGTGCACACTGAGTCTTACATCACGTGCGTAACTTGTTTCTTTTTTTTATATCTTTTGATATGGATGCTTGTCGAGATAGAAAATTCGATAATATATGTCATTTAGAGAATATGAATGAGAATGTTTTGACAATAAAAAATTTTAACACATGTGCAAACAAAACGGAAAATCATCATGACATTGACGATACGCCGCGGAAAGAAATAACTGAGTTTCTCGTTAAATATCGCGATCGCGTTTATAACATTCATAATTTCTTGAATAATCATCCTGGAGGAAAAAACACGCTTATGCGTCTCAAGGATCAAGACTTGGGTAAAGAGTTAGCAAAAAATCTTCACTCGAAGTCTGCTTACTATCTTCTCGAAGAATTCGCTGTACAACATCAAGTGAGATACAATGAATACGAAGTAAGTGATTTATAAATGAGAAATAACAAATGACATTGATATCATTAAAAAAATGTTATTATATGTATACGTTGTATTATATATTTGCACATCTGCAGTCACAGATAACTTTAAACAGTCAGATTGATAATTTATATTTCCTGTTGACAGATACAACTTTATTTTTAATTTTATATGCAGTGTGAATTTTTAAATATGTATTTATACGTATATTCGACTCCGATCCTAAAAATATACTTGTGCTCTATATATATATATATCAAATTATAAATAAAATTCAATCTAAAAATTGTTAGTTATGACAAAAAGTGATTCATCAAATTATGACGAAAATATTTTCGTAATCATAAAAAATAAAACATTCGTTATACAATATATACAATACGTAACACATGAAATTTATCTAATAGGCTTGGCTTTTATCTTCAAGTTTATCTCAATTCTACGAAACATACCATTTACTATAGATAAAAAAATTTGTATAGATAAAAAAAATTTAAGATAAGTCTATCTATATAAAATTACAGATATACAGTTTTGTAATATCATACAGTTATTTTTAAATCAATGAAAAAATGTACGCCTAGGTGCTCAAAAGGCAAAGCTAGTTGCGTGCTAATTAAATTAGTGCTTTTAGTAAATTATCGCTTAAGAAAATTATGTTTTATTTCAGAATTTGATAAACTGGGACAAGCCTATTTTATGGCAAGTAGGTTTTATGGGCGAACAATATTGGGAATGGGTAAATCTGCCAGTAAATCGGCCTATTCGATTTTTTCAATCGGATATTTTAGAGAAATTATCGATTTCGCCATGGTATATTCTGCCGATTATCTGGCTACCCATAATTTCATATTTCTTTTATATGGGTTGCGTCTTGAATGTTTCGACAAATATTGGTAATTCGTATTTTACAGTAAAAAAGTTATTAAAAATAGTAAAGTAAATAATAAAGAAATAATAAATATGTACATAAATTTTTTTACGTATATTCCATAAAGTTTGTATATTCTTTTTGTGATTATAGCACAAAATATTTTACCATCTTTCATTCTGGGAGTATTTATATGGACCATTTTAGAATATTTCTTTCATCGAAAAATATTTCACTTTAGACCACCACATAATTCGAAAGTACTGATTACATTACATTTTTTGATGCATGGAAATCATCACAAGGTAAGATTCACAAATCTATGATATATTTTAAATTAATTTTCGATTATATACAAAAGTTGTGCCAATAGGCACCGTTGGATGACCGAAGACAAGTATTCCCACCGATATTCGCTTTATTTTTGGCAGCAATTGCTTGGGAAATTTATAAAGCTATTTTTCCTATGACAATAGTTCATTTTATCGCTGCTGGCAGTACAATGGGTAAATACTTTATGTATTTAAATATTCATAAATTTTGTTATATCAGAAAATATTATAATGTAAGTTACTTAAACACCCGTGACTATTTTTACAGGTTATTTAGGTTACGATTTGATGCACTATTATTTGCACAATGGAGCACCGGTGGCAGAATCATATTTATATACAATGAAAAGAAAACATAATTATCATCACTTCGTACATCATGAACAAGGTAATTAATGCAAATTACTATTAGAATTATACAAAGAATTAATCATTATTATGTCATCTCTTACAGGATTTGGAATTACTAATGGATTATGGGATCGAATACTTAATACGGATCTAACTTTGAGAAAATTAAAAGAACCTTTAGAATGGTGAAATAGTTAAAAAAAAATACGACATTTATATTTATTGATAATATTAATTTTTTAATATTTTTATTATATGAATAATAATTTATTATTGATATAATCGTAACTGTAATTATAAGTATAGAATATTATTTTTATAATTTAAACTTAACTACATATTCAGTCGATTTAAGTACATATATCCTTGAAATTCATTAATCTTTTATAAATATATTTACGTGATTAAAGTCTTTCAAATAACAATATAAAAAACGTCACAAATAAAATATTGATAAATTTATATTTTAATAGCTTTGTATTTATTTGATTAAGTAAATGTAATATTAAATGAGGCTTTAAACTAGTTGTTGGTGTCTTAAGTACATAACTCATGGTATCTTAAATACATAATACAAGTTCATTTATCCTGTTTCAAGCCTAATATCACAAAACGTCCAAAGTTAACAGAAAATATATATCGTTATTGAGATCTCAAAGCATATTCGCATTGTGGTTTTTAGCCACGCATTAAATACATTATACCTGAGTACAAAATTCACAAGGGACTCATATTGCCACTATCTAGATCGACACTAATTAAATTTCTAAGCGAGTGCGTCACTGTACTTCGGCCTTGACAGTCTTTCTGCCCATACTTAATTGTGGAAATGTACTTTTATTAGTGGGAGGATTCAGTTTGGACGATAAATGCACGAATGCTTCAAACAGAGTAGATCTATCCATGACGTTTACCTCATAATGTTTAACCTTTTCTCTAGTGCACCAGTTAGTTGCTTTGTTCACTGTATTCTCTAAGTTATTCAATACAACATCAGTTTTGGTTGTCCGATTACCAATTACGATCACAGTTATCTCCTTCTTGTCCTTGTTCTTGTCAATATCCTTCTTTAGAGGAAAAAGCACATCTAGAGATTCAGGTTTGCCAGTATCATATACTAAGACGTAACCATCAGCGAAGCCAAGATAATGTCGTGGAAGCTGCTGATTATTTACATTACTCTGCAGAGATTCAAGCCCAGCTGTATCATAGAACCTAACCTTCTCTTTTGTGCCCCGATCAGTCTCAATGTTGGCGACATAAATGTCTTCAATTGTGGGATGAATTTCCTGCAATTAATTATTACTTCAATATCAGAGCACAGATATATTTAAATGCATAGGCAATAGATACAGGGAATAACACACACGCAATAGACTTCAACCTACCAGAAATTGCTGTGTATCGATACACGATTTCTGATATTACCTGTGTGTTATTCCTGATTTCTATTGCTTATGCTTTCCATCTGTAATAGGCTGATATAAGACTTCCATCTGATATAAGACTTTACAATCCCTAAATAGGCATGGAGAATCTCAGGGTGACATAATCTAAAATAAGTACCGTCTTTGCGTCGATATTTCCATACACGAGTTGCTCTAGCAGGGCGGTTTTGCCAACTCCTTTCATCCCACAAACGACTACCCTCGTAGTCTTCCCCATATCTAGATCTTCGTTAAGTACCAATTTCTTCGCGTAGCGATGACATTACATAGAATGATAAGACATTATCTGACACCTAACGTTCCATTCCATACGTTACCATTAGAGAGCCTACAATCAGAATGACGCCATACGGGTATCACTTGTGATTGGTTCGCCATGTTTTAGCTATTCCCTCCAGTTTTTTAAAAGCATTATTTTCTACATTTTGAATTTATGCTCAAAAAAATGCTCTAAAAAATGCTCAAAAATTGTTGACAAATTAAAAAATGATAATAAATAAATATTGTATATAAATTTGTAAAATAATAAAACTTTTTCCTATATTATTTATTATAAAATTTCATTTATTTTGTACTATTGCAATATTGTACATTTTATAATATTGCACATTACTTTATACAAAACGTTATTTATTGCACATTATTTGCGCTATTAAATGCCCTAGTTTATTATCCATTTTCTGTTCTCACATTTTAGGAGCAAAATGCATCTGTAATATAAAAGAAATTCAAAAATTCAGAAAAATATTATATATGTATACCATTTCATAAAATATTATATATTAAATATCGTAATTATCATATTATTTGATTTCGACTCACAATGCAATGATTTATAATTGAAAAGATTACGGCAAAAAGAGAAAAAATTAAATTCGTAACCAATGTGATGACTATACATATACTTAGTGCCAAGACACTACCGTGTCTTCAGATATTATAATTAATCTGAGTATATTTTATATTTATATTTTATGTGTATATTTTTATTTTCATATTTTAAATATATTATTTAAAAGAATAAATTACTTTACCTCACATATATATGAATTTTTTGACGGTGTCCAATTTTTATATTTGCCATTTATACTCTTTAATCAATTCATTCGGCGTTCTGTGTCTTTCGGAATTATTTTCATAACATATCTTTCTTTTAATGAATTGTTACAAAATGGTATTGTACATCCAATCATATTTCTAAAATAATTTCGATAATTTTATTTTTATCAATGTACCTTTACGTATCTGTGTCGTTTAATGCACCTAATCCTAAAATTGACAGTCTGTTGGATAAACTGAGACCTATATCAGGGAATGGCTAAAACATGGCGGACCAATCACAAGTGATACCCGTATGGCGTCACTCTGATTGTAGGCTCTCTATCCCATTCTTATTTTTATAATTATATTTACAATTTGCAATTTGAATAAAGTTGGAACTCTTCTAATTGTATAAGCAAACTACATTTAACTTAAAATTGTGAAGAAAATTTATATGAATAAAAATGAATCAACCTTAGAGGCTCTCCACCACCCCCACCAATTTTTAATGGCGGTCCTCTTTTCTTTGTAAGTATACTCCCCCGTAAAAAAACGAGTTACTAAATTTAGTCCGATTTTGCAGGTAAATATAATTTAAATTTATTTTTTAATTTTATTATAAAAATAATAAGGCTCAATAAATCAAAATAAGTAAAAAAGAAAAAGGGCTACGAGCCTAAAACATAAATTGACAAACTGTATAAATAGTTAAAAAAATTGCAATAAAACTTTGGCACAAAATTAAAAACGTAAAATATAATTTGACAATCAGAAGGTGAACAAAACAAACGTTTCGATCCTTGTTGGATCATTTTCAATGTGATAAATAAATTAATGTGACAAATAAATTAACAATGGTAATTAACGGTAATTAATGGTAAATAGAGTTATAACGTAGATAAAAACATAAGAAATTAAGTAAAATTCGCATTCGGACGCAAAATTAACTATAAAACTCGCTCCAAATTGAGAGGAAATCAAACAAACGATTATAGTTGACAAAAACGTGCTCCTCCGAACCGTGTGTGTGTATAAGGACGAACATGTTTCTTATGTGTGTGTCGAAATGATGTATTATCGATTAGGCAATGCAATTGGAATCGAAATTGATCATCTTTCTAAGAAGCTAAGATATAAAGTTTTTTTAACTATTTATACAGTTTGTCAATTTATGTTTTAGGCTCGTAGCCCTTTTTCCTTTTTATTTTAATTTTATATTTCTCTTTTTTTCTTTAATTATTTTATTATATTTCGCTAAAATCATATTGCATTATTATTAGCAAAATACAATAAAATAATTAATAATTATATTGCATAACTTTTTAATATTATCTTTTATTGTAAACCTTTAATAATACAATAATAATTATTTACACAATTTCGGCGTTCTGTGTCTTTCGGAATTATTTTCATAACATATCTTTC